TTGATTTGTGAAAAAAATTCCTTGTGCATTCTCATTTGTTCTTCTTGTCATTTTGATGTTATTTTCTGCATGTACATGTACATGTATGTTAATGTACAAGCACAGTATACCAGCACATTAATGTTGTCATGTGCACTTTCAGCCAAATTCCCCTGGTTCTCTTTCCAGTCTCTGAGAATAACAAAAAGGGAGAAAAAAGGGGGAAAAGAACTACATGTACATGTACTCTAGAAGCCTGATGTCTGTTAACTTATTTTCCTTGGGACAGATGCTGATCACGCCCTTTTTACACGTACATGTACAGTGTGTAGCTGCCAGGATAATCCACTCTTTCCCGGGGCAGACAATTTACTCATGTCCATTGCAATGCAGTTAATAGCCTTTCCTGCCGTTATTACGGTGTGAATTTGTGTGTGTGTGCATGCTAGAATGCTTCTGGCTGGATATGACACCAGGTTTATTGGAAGTTCCCCTCAATTGTTTCGGAGACAACGAGGCCAAATTAAGTTTGTGGGCGGATGGTTGTCCCGTGGAAGCCCTTAATGGGAGTGCCGTTCCGAGGTGGTTGAGTTTTTGTCTTTTCAATTTGGAAAGGAAGCAATTTATTTGATGGGCTCCTCTTTTGACCGTCACCGTGAGCTAGCAGATTTTGAACTTGGTTGGAAGTGAAGTGGCATAGGTTTTTTTTGGGGGGGGGGTGTGATACGAAAGGGGGCTACATCGTACATGTACCTTCGATGAAATTGATTGAATTACATGTATTTTGAGAAGTTACCTTGTTATTCAACTGGGAAATCATGATGCGTTATCCTATTTGTTTTTCCTTGTGAATAAGTGACAATTATACATGCACATGCTTGACCCAACTCTAATAAATTGAGTTTTTAAGTGCCTGTAACCAGTTTTTAGTTAAGGGTCTGTGAAAGAATTTTTCACAGTGGAAATCATTGGGAATCTCAACATTTTTCCACCCACATTTTTTCCATCTTCATCAGGATTGCCAGACTGGGTAATGCACATCACAACGGAGAGTCGTATGCTCTTCCAAACGTAAACTTAAAACATGGCCTGAAAAGTCATTTCTTTGGATCCAGTCAATTGACAGTAAACACAGTGCTCCACACCACCAGTAATTAAAAAAGAAATCTTTTTCTCCAAACGGAAAATTTATAACAAGGGTACTCCCATAAGATCATCATTAAAATGTAGGTACCCCGGTATTCCTTCGATCCTTGCCCCATTTGGATAATTGGCAACGCAGGTTCACAATCACGCTGTGCGGTGGATACCCTGGGAAAATGCATGTGGTCAATTCAGAAAAGCCACTCGCGGATCAGCGCAAGTTTGACCGGGACAGAGTCCGTTGCAGTTCATTCATTCATTACCAGCCTCAGCAAATTGGAGTGTACTCAACAACTGCACGGGGTTATTTTGGAGATAGATAAAAGAAAATAAAAATTGACGAGCATGTGTCACTGAAACAACTGTTTTTGTGACAGCATGTATAAACATGTCCATGAATTTTGTCATGATTTGAAAAACAAGTCTCTGTTTCAAAAAGAAAATCATCATTTTAATTAGAACTGGCCGATGCAGTTTCTGAAAAGATTTGTAATTTTTGGAGCTTACAGAATGATTTGACTAGGAGAAACTTAATCTTTTTGCCGAGATTCTTTGGAATGTTTACAGACAGATTCATGTTTTAAAACGACATTCTGTGCTAAACATCTGAAAATTGTGCACTTTTGTCCTGAACATTGTGCTTGTTATTTTCACTCGCTGCATTTGCGTACTGAAAATTAAGCTTTTAGGGACGGTAACGTGGCTTACCTTGCTACGGACTGCATAAATAAACCCACAAAACTGTAACAGATTGTGAACCTCAGTTAAGAGAACACATCAATTTTGATCAATTCTATTGCATTCCTTAACACCACCAGTCCTAAAACAGATCAAAGTGTCACTGCATTAGCGCCTATGATCTGGACTGACGTACACACGTTACCCCCAGATATAATAAGAGACTCGCCAAATTGAACCCACAACTTAATTATTGACCGCTCAAGCTTGGAGGCACAGAGGGCATCAATAACTTCACCCTCTGGCATCGATTGAGGAAAATATGAAGGGGGGGAGGGTGTTGTCTGGCTGGTTAGGGTACGCAGGTTGGAATCTGTCCGACTAATTAGTGGTAATGTTTGCCTGGCGTTGTGATTGCCTGCTGTTGTCGGGCATTAAGTATGCAGAATTCCATTTATGAGCATGATTGCAAGTGTCCGTCTGATTGTATTGCCTGAACAGTGGCTGGGGTTTTAGTCAGGGTACCAGTATTTATGATGATTTGACCTCTGCCAATGCATACTACATGCATACATGTATCTGCAGATGTACCTGTACATGGTGCTCTAGTTGGCAGCTCAGATGAACTTACCGTAAACGCACCTGTGCAGATTAAGTGGTGATATGTACACAGCCACTGTACCAGTTAGCAACTGAAAGAAGCTGATGGGAGATGGCAACTTTACTCATCTTGTTGCTGTGGATTATGTTATATATGCTACAGTCAGGCCTTTATCAAGTTTGCTGTAGAAAGGATGCATTATGGTACTACTAGCTCAGCATGTTTAATCATAACTGTGGGATGTAGCTCATTGGCTTGTACATGTACATGTATGTTTGAACTGTTTGCAGGGCCTCAGGAATAGTCCTGTACTATTTCTACTTAGGGAGATAATTTATGAGGGGAAGTTTCAACTTGAGGCAACCAAGCCACAGCGAGTAAGGCTAGACTCCATCTGCTAGACTTCTTTCCCACCAAAAAAACTGCCAGGTGAAGACTGGAGAAGAGTCTATGCAATTTATCAGAGTAGTGCTCTGGAACTGTCACTGCTCACAAATTATCTCTGGACTAGACGACTAACTCCCCTTCCCCCCAGTCTTTTCCCTCACCAGATGTTTCTGTCGAATGGAAGCCACGTCCTGTCCATTGGCAGGTGTGCTCTAGGTTGGAGGGATCCGGCATGCTGATTCACGAGTTTAGGGGAAGCTGCCAATTACCCAGGATGCATTGCACTGTGGGATGAGTGTGTATTTGTGTGCACGTGCAAGGCAGTGGGGATGAACACTCCAGAACAACTCTGCTGTCAGGATCACAAGGGTGTAACGCAATACTGTGTTGAACCGTACTTTAGCCAGCACGACTGGTGCAGCTTCAGAACAGTGTAATTTGTAATGTGGTCAACCCATTCAGACCCGGCCGATAAGTGTGGATTGTAAACAGTGGCTCAGCTATTAGTATTTACGCGCCAGAGTTGTCCGAGGCTGGTGTCGTGTTGGGAATTCGAGAGGTCGATTGCTGAGTCTGAGAAAGAGAGAGGGACATCAGAGTCAAGCGGCCAGTAGCCAGCCGCGACATTATCGAGCTGGTCAGCCAGTCAACTAGACAGGAACGGGCCTGCCATCTCTGTCCCGACCTCGTGCATGGGAGAAATGCTGGATGAGGGTCTGTTGGGCTTTGATGCTTCCCAGGCCCCCAGGCACATCTGATATTACCATTACTCCTGAGATGATTTTGTGACTTGCTGCATCGCTCTGCTGTCTGAGTCTGGACCCTGAGATATTTGCTTGTACCTGTGCCTTTTTGCCGTTGCTGCAGGAATAGGGAGAAAAAAAATGGATAGATACTTTCGTCTTTGGAGGCTTCCAACATTGTCACTGTAGCACTGTCTCCCGGCGATTCTCATCACGTCTTCACCGTTGTGATTTGGTGTCAGTTTTGACAGCAACCTTTTAGTGTGACATTCAGACAGATGCAGAGTGACTGAATTGCTTCTGATCAAAATGCTTTAGTTTTTATTTTATATTTTAGAGGGTGCAGTTTAAATGGAAATTGACAAATATGCCAAAGCCGTAGGATCTCCATGAATTCAATATCCAACTGGATCATATACAGTACATGTATGATTTCAAAATCCTGAATCTTTCAAAGAGCATCATGCAAATGGTCAAGTAGATTTAAAGGCCGGGAGACTTTTTAAAATCTATGCAAAGGAAAACAGTGTGATGCAGTTCTTTCTAGAAGTACTTTAAAAGTCTAAAATGTATCTATGTACACTAGTGTACATGTACATGTATGTTTGTTAGCGCGCGTAACCTAACACGATCCGCTCCTGCAAGGATCCTTGCCTCAGTTCAGAATCGGCCGTATTTGATGTCGATGGAGCATGCAGAAGTAGGATTTTGGACAGGAAATACCGTGTAGACATGGTCTGCTTTAAGACTCATCAAATGTCCAAGGTCTCCAGCAGTCCTTCAGCCTGATCTCCGAGATACATCTGCACAAACACACACCGGCAAGTCTTCAGTTGGGCATGCGCTAATACATGTGGATCTGGGATGCTCTCCTGTCTGTGCCGGGATTTGCGTCGATGTGTATTTGGACTGTTGCACAGCGCGTTTTTGAGCAACAATCTTGAATCCCATGCCGGAGATGCTGTACCACGGGATTACCGTTCTGCGCGAGTTATCTTTAATATTAACACATATAAATACCAAATCAGGGGGGAAGAAACGGTGGTGAGGCGATATATTTCTAGCTCTGTTGCAGTTTGATGAGAAATAAAAGGCTCCAGGAGACGCAGCACGTGTGATTTTTCAATGACTTTGCTGCCAAATTTGACAAGGAAAACACTGGAGATCTTGCTGTAGATGCAGTTCAGTACATTTCAGTATTTTGCTGTATTTATTTATTGTCTAGTCCTTTATACTGATGCTAAGAGTCGTATGAGCTACCGGAGGGGAGTTTATAACGTTTATTTTACCCTAGAGTTCCTCTGAAAGAGCCAGACACTAAGTTCCTGCCAGACATTGTGAGCAAATTGCCAGTCGTGTTTCGTCTGCTGAGCTGGTGGGAATTTACTCTTGCTTGGCCCACTAAGTTCAAGTCACGCCCACGTAAGAATCAGGACTCTGGACTGAAGCCAGGCAAAAACAAAACAGGAATGGCTGCCACCATGGAAATCATGCGGGAACTGAAGTCCTTGGGAAAGATGAAGGTAGAGGTGCCCACCAACCACTGGTCCAGTGCCGAGTTCAAGAGGCGGCAGAAGCAGATCCTGGACGAGATATTCCTCTGCCTGATGAGAGGCCTGGTGGATGGATGCTACGATGAGGTGGAGTGCTTGGACGTTTTCTCTCAATTTTTGCGCTTTGATTTTTGGCATGAGAAAGGCAGCACAAATTGTTCTTTCAATCTGTGGAAGGTCTGGAAAATAGTAGCTTTCTTTTTCTGTGACCTGTGATCCATAGATTGGCAGTTTGCGTTTGCAGGCCACCGATGCAACTGCTGCAAAATCTCTGCCTCATTTTGTCTGGCATGGCACTTTGACAAAGAGCAACTTAAAACCTGTTATGTACATGTACCAGTTTTTCTAGTCAAAGAGATACACTGTACATTGCGCTATAGAACGAACAAGTAGATCGTTTTACATGTACTTTTATCCTGGTAAGCTTAGTCGTGCAAATGCTGTGCGCATGTTGTGTAAACAGGTAACATCACCAATACACATTCAAATTATGAATATAGGTTGTGTTGGAAGAGCACGGTTGATGCAGTGTTATCTCGCACCAAATTTGGCCCTATCAAATTTTGGCTGTTGATACATCTGCACTTTTGTACTTGTATGTATGGCACAGTATTATAGGGCTCACCAATGACGTGCAGCTGTCCAACCAGTCTGTCTGTTGCTTCTCCAGATTATTTGATTTTGGTGATAAGGCCGTTGACCTTGGTGCATGCCATCTTATGGGGTATCTTAGTGGATTAGCTCTGCCCAGGCCAGGCTGTAGGGTTCACTGCACTCGCCTCGTGACCATGACCCTTTTACAGTTCAGTCTTGCTTTTCATGCGTGCTTGTTCTTCATCTCCGTGTGCCCAAATGGCTGCAAATTGGGGAAAGCAGTGAAGCACAAGGGTTGGCGGCAGGTTGAGAGTTAATTAAGTCAGGGTGTATGTTATTGCTGTCTTGACAAATGGGAACAAATCAGTGTGGTCACTGTTGGTATTGCATCGAGCAGATTGAAGGCTTGAGTTGAAAGGTTGTGCAAAGTTGGACTCATTTCTTGCCCTGTATGTTGTTTCATTTTTTTTCTCACTTTACACCTGGATTAATGCCAGAGCATGAAATGACAGTTGGATGTCTGTCATTTTCTGACCACTTTAGGTATTTCGCAGACCAAAAGAAAAACTGGTTGGACAGAACATCTGAGGGAAAAGTAAAGGGGAAATAGAGCCCAAAGGCCACATCATCTTGGTGTTTTTGGGGCTGTGTTGTATACTTAAACTTTGAAGATGTTTGCATGTGACCTTGTCCCACTGAAAGCTGGTATTGGCAGAATGAAATTTATCTGGGCTGTATGTTTTATCCGCCCACTTTTTGGCCTAATTTCATTCTCCAAATGCTTTTGAAAAGTAGAAAATGTAGACAATTTGTAATGTTTGGAATGTCCTCTCTTGCTTGGGCTGTCAAGTTGTAGTCTAGGATTGTATAGTTTCACAACTTGAACATTTTTTTTTCTCCGAAACAAGAATGTTTCTGGTCTGTACGTACATGTACATACACACCCATACTCAGGTTTGAAGTGGTGGAGAAAACAGCCAGCATTTTACTGGTCCTGAAAGTTTGTGCCAATTTGCAAGAACCCTGAAACAAGTATTGATTGTCGAACCAGGAAATGGCGCTTAATTAACGGCGCTTAGTGCCCCCGAGGTTAAGAGGAATCATTGATTAATAAGCCCTGCAGACACAGAAATAAGGCAGATAAACGTGCAAGTACATGTAGCCCTATATGTACATTTGCAGTGTTTTTAGAAACACTTTCAGATGAAAAGATGCATAAGGACTGTGACACTTGTTCCTGTTTTGTTTTTTTACACAGAGGGAAAGAAACCTGCCCCCCTTTGGAATATACATGTACATCATGTTTATATCTACAATGTACATGTAGGTGCCCCTTACAATGAACAGATATTCAATATCAAGTATATGAGCGCACACATTAGAACTTTTTTAAACTCACTCATAACAGCAGGTCATTGTTTATCTTGACTACTTGACAGAACCTTTCAAAAAATGGCTGAAAATGCCCTGGAAATGGACAAGTACAGGTGTTTCTGGGAGTTTTTTTTGAGGGAGGAGGGGGAGAATAAGGACTTAAAAGTGTTC